AGCCTTTTTTCATCATCAGAAATGCATGCAAAGTGTTTTCCATGTATTCAAATGGACCCGGTATACCGGCGCAGTCAGTTCCAGGTTTTGCGTGAAGGAAACAATGGCAGAACGCGCCGCATTATGGGATCCATAGTGAATACAATCAGAAAAGACCGGTCATCTCAATACATACTGCTCTCTCTGCTTCTGCTCTCTCTATTTCTCTCAAAATGTCTGAAATAGTAAATGTTTTACTGTCTTTCAGTGCATTCTGGGCATTTTGGAAGGTCTCCTGAGGTTATCTTAAAAAAACGCTTCTAAATGTAAACGCAGCTAAACGCGGTATGCAAACGCATCTAACAGACGTTTTTTAACCTACGTTTTCTAGCAGTCAGTTTCCATCGTTCAGAAGTGTTTTCCAAATTCCCCGTGTACATGGAGCCTTATTGTCAAAGCGTAACTGAACAAGCTGATTGGCTGATTGGCTGATTGGCCGCCATGCACAGCTGCACCAGATTGTAAGCGCTCCAGTTTTAGTAAATCTAAATGTCTGCTTATCCCAAAGTTTAACCCATTAAGCAGGAATTTCCCAAAATTCAAACTGTGAATGACCAGCATAATGGTTAGAATTTGGAAAAATCCAAACCCATATTAACCACCTCCTGCCCGCCATATAGTAATATGAGGGGTGCAAGGCGGTTCTCTCGTTCTGGGAGGACGTCATAGGACGTCCTCCCATTCTCACTGCGCATGCGGGGCTCAGGGAGCGCGCAGCGTGGCGATCGGCGGTGTGCTGTTTCCCTCGGACACAGCGGATCGCCGATCTGCGGAAAGAGCCGAAGATGTCGGCTCGGTCATGTGATCAGCTGTGTCCAATCACAGGAAGGGGGTAGAAGTGCCCGGTAGGCAGGAAGGGGGTAGAAGTGCCCAGGGGGGCAGGAAGGGGGTAGAAGTGCCCGGTAGGCGAGGGGTTTAATAACACAACATTACCACCTTGAGGTTTCTTGTATTTCGATGATATACTTGTATATATGGAGAGGCGGCACCAGCTACTTCCTGAGATGACAGCAGACACTTTAATTACCACTAAAGTGCTGGGAGGATTACATGAAGGGAAATGAAGGCTTTGTTAACCGTTTCCATACCGGGCAATGTTACCCCCCCTTCCCCCCCAGGCCATTTTTCAGGTTTCAGCGCTCTCACACTTTGAATGACAATTGCGCGGTCATACAACATTGTACCCAAACTACAATTTTTATCATTTTCTTCACACAACTGGAGCTTTCTTTTGGTGGTATTTAATCACCGCTGGGGTTTTTATTTTTTGCTAAATTAACAAAAAAAGACCAAAAATTTTGAAAACAAAACACATTTTTCTTTGTTTCTGTTATAAAAGTTTACAAATAAATAATTGTTCTTCATAAATTTAGGCCGAGATGTATTCTGCTACATGTCTTTGGTGAAAATAAACCCAAATTAGGATGTATTTTTTAGTTTGTAGGAAAGTTATAGAGTTCACAAACTATGGTATAGATCTGAATATTGATCAATCCTGAAGACAGCCAATCTAATTTCTTGAGGTCCAAGAATGTCAGAACAGTACAGATATCCCCCAAATGTCAGGATGGTACAGATATCCCCCAAATGTCAGGACGGGACAGATATCCCCCCAAATGTCAGCACAGTACAGATATCCCCCAAATGTCAGGACAGTACAGATATCCCCCCAAATGTCAGGACAGTACAGATATCCCCCAAATGTCAGGACAGTACAGATATCCCCCAAATGTCAGGACAGTACAGATATCCCCCAAATGTCAGGACAGTACAGATATCCCCCAAATGTCAGGACAGTACAGACATCCCCCAAATGTCAGCACGTACAGAGGTATCCCCCAAATGTCAGGACAGTACAGACATCCCCCCAAATGTCAGGACAGGTACAGACATCCCCCAAATGTCAGGACAGTACAGATATCCCCCAAATGTCAGGACGGTACAGAGACATCCCCCAAATGTCAGCACAGTACAGATATCCCCCAAATGTCAGGACAGGACAGATATCCCCCAAATGACCCCTTTTTGCAGAGTAGACAGTCCGACGTACTTCATAAGAGGCATGGCGAGTTTTTTGAAGTTGTATTTTTTTGTCATAATTTTTTTCGGAAAATGAAAAAATTAAAAAAATTATTTTCACTATTTTTTTTTTTACATACTGTCACCAGTGCAGTACAGCGTCATCATATAACTGGCATGGCGGTGAACAGGGACACTGACTGGTGACAGTATGAAAAAAAAAAATATATATTTTTTTTTTAAATTTTTTTAAATTTTTTTATTATATTTAATTTTTTATTACATTTTTTTTTTTTTTTAAGATTTTTTTTTCATATTTTACTATGATCAAAGTAGTACAATGTTACTATAGTAACATTGTACTACTTTGGGGAAGTGATCAGTATTTTTATTTTTTTTTTTTTTTTTTCACAATTTGCTTATAGCAAAGAATTACTTTGCTATAAGCAAGCATTTACCTGAATGAAATCGATTCATTCAGCTTTTTTTTTTTTTTTTTCTTTTCTTTTGTGCTTAGCTGTGTGATTTGGTCACAGCTAATCACATGACATGTGCATGTGATTAGCTGTGACCATTCACAGCTAGGCACTAGTATACAATGGATGGCATCATGAATGAAGCCATCCATTGTATACAACTGTCATGTGACCTGCTGTGATTGGTCACAGCAGGTCACATGGTACCAAAAACGGGAGCCGGTACTCGGATCTGTAATCGGCCGTGTCAAGGTGCACGGCCGGTGATAGATCGCACTGCTGCGCTGCTCTGCATTAGTGCAAACGGCGCATGTGCGGGAGCACGCCAAATGGCGTGTACCCGGAACGGAGAGACACTTCTGAAGCCGGGCGGCTAATGGTTAAAGCAGAACCCCCCCCCCTCACCTTTATAGGTAAGAAAGCTGTCATTTTACAGGCAGTTGCCGTGGTCCGGCTCCTGTGTCCAGCTATGGCATGAAAAGTCAGTTGAGAGCTCTCATAGGCACACTGGTGACAGTTATCAGCACAGGTATGATTTGAATGTTACTGGCTGAACCTGCTCATTTGCATATCTTTGCAAAGGATTCTGGGAAATGGGTTTTGCCACCTCAGGATTGATCAAACCTGAATTATTTGTGTTTTTAGATGGTTTATAGAGCCAGAAAGATTTGGAAGTGAACATACAAGCCAAAAGAAAGATTTTAATGTTAAATTCAAATTTGACTCTCCATAGGTTGATATTTTGGTAGTTCGGACGGTTTAAAAAGACTCGAAGCTTACTGAGCAGATGGAGAGGTTGGGAAAGCTCAATGGACACCAAGTGAAGGATCTCTCTGGGGCCGAATCAGTGACACTGATGTGAAGATTCCTCTGAGGGGAAGTTCATTGATACTGATGTGAGGATCTCTCTGAAAGAAGTTCAGTGATTACTGACAGGAGTGATACAAAAAGGATCACTCAGGGGGAGTTCAGTGATACGGACAATGAGGATCTCTCTGGGGAAGTTCAATGATACTGACAAAGAGGATGTCACAGAGAAGTTCAGTGACACTGAGGGCAATACAGACTTCTCTGAGCCCCATTCCAGAACACTTGGAAGTTGAGCGTTGTTCCCTGCCTCTCTTTTTTAGGTGTTTTCCTGCATTGCAGACCCCCCCCTGTTATCTCACATATAGATTCTTATTATTATAGCCACCCTAACTCCTCCCACAGTTCTTACACTACATAGACAGTAATATACCGAAACGTGCGGATTGTTCCCGATTGGTGCGCTATTACTTTGTGGAACGTTTCGCCGAATGGTTCACGAAATATCGCGGTTTTTGTGGTGAAATTTTCCCATAGGAATGAATGGCGCAACTAGAGTGGGAGCTGACAAAGCTAGAGTGTGGAAGGAAAAATCAGGACATGATTTGTAAACTGCCATCACTCCCTCATTTTCAAGCCACCTACACATATCTTATATCAAAACGTTCAGCTATCCCGCTGCCACTAAAATGTTCACGGCTAAGCCATAGTCCTGATAGTTTTCACAATATGACCATTTGTTTGCAACTCACGCCGCCCATTGACTTTAATTGAATCTTTACTCTAGACACCTGAAATTTCAAAGGCCATATTTAAACTGCAACTGTGCCTTCATTTTTAATATTTCAGAGACATACAATGCTTTAAAATGTAGGTCTGGGTCTTGTGAGTCTTAAAATATAAAGCTCTTCGCTGTAGGATTTATAATTTTAAAACTACAACCGTTTGAAGATGGCAACCGCCAGTGAAGTGAGCAAGTTGGAGCAGTTTGTTTATAAAAGCCCCTCTCAGCTTGCTGTGACTGAGTGAGTTGCCATAGCAACCGAAGATGAGTCAGCAGGCAGCAGCAGGTGACCAAGGCTAGACTGTGAGCTGCAAAATAAAAGTTGAAATGCATTTCTCAGTCTATCAGGCTTGCCATGTGCACTGCTTACATTTCATCAATCACTTGTTTAGGGTTGCATGCAAGAACACTTCACACAATTTCCCCAGAAATTGTACCTTTTCTAGTTATTATTGTTTGATGTCAGATTTTCCTAATTCACTTCTTATCTCCTCCAGGCACTAATGACCGGACGATAATTCTCCGACCCCCAACCATCAGAGCGCTGGGCACAGGCTGACGTTATCTTTCATATAATGGTGAGTAGTACTGGAGGTTCCCAGTCATACAATGTAACACGGGCCCGGCGCCAACAATCAGAACACAACAATGTAACCTGCAGTACATATCCCTGAAATTGTTACTGTTTGGATTGTTGGGATGGACCCCCAACCTATACTATTTATTTATTCATTGGATGATCCCAACTCCAATTTCATACCATTTAAATCTGACCTCCGGACTCCCTTTCGGTCTTGCACAGGTGTACCGACTCCTCCCCTTTAGTCTTGCACAGGTGTACCGACTCCTCCCCCGTTCAGTCTTGCACAGGTGTACCGACTCCTCCCCTTCAGTCTTGCACAGGTGTACCGGCTCCTCCCCTTCAGTCTTGCACAGGTGTCCCGGCTCCTCCCCTTCAGTCTTGCACAGGTGTACCGACTCCTCCCCTTCAGTCTTGCACAGGTGTACCGACTCCTCCCCTTCAGTCTTGCACAGGTGTACCGGCTCCTCCCCTTCAGTCTTGCACAGGTGTACCGACTCCTCCCCTTTAGTCTTGCACAGGTGTACCGACTCCTCCCGTTCAGTCTTGCACAGGTGTACCGACTCCTCCCCTTCAGTCTTGCACAGGTGTGTACCGGCTCCTCCCCTTCAGTCTTGCACAGGTGTCCCGGCTCCTCCCCTTCAGTCTTGCACAGGTGTCCCGGCTCCTCCCCTTCAGTCTTGCACAGGTGTCCCGCTCCTTCCCTTCAGTCTTGCACAGGTGTACCGGCTCCTCCCCTTTAGTCTTGCACAGGTGTACCTGCTCCTCCCCTTTAGTCTTGCACAGGTGTACCGGCTCCTCCCCTTTAGTCTTGCACAGTTGTACCGGCTCCTCCCCTTCAGTCTTGCACACAGTTGTACCGGCTCCTCCCCTTCAGTCTTGCACAGGCGTAGCGGCTCCTCCCCTTCAGTCTTGCACAGGTGTAGCGGCTCCTCCCCTTCAGTCTTGCACAGGTGTAGCGGCTCCTCCCCTTCAGTCTTGCACAGGTGTATGGGCTCCTCCCCTTTAGTCTTGCACAGGTGTACCGGCTCCTCCCCTTCTGTCTTGCATAGGTGTCCCAGCTCCTCCCCTTCAGTCTTGCACAGGTGTTCCGGCTCCTCCCATTCAGTTTTGCACAGGTGTAGCGGCTCCTCCCCTTCAGTCTTGCACAGGTGTACCTGCTCCTCCCCTTCAGTCTTGCACAGGTGTACTGGCTCCTCCCCTTCAGTCTTGCACAGGTGTACCGGCTCCTCCCCTTCAGTCTTGCACAGGTGTACCGGCTCCTCCCCTTCAGTCTTGCACAGGTGTACCCGGCTCCTCCCCTTCAGTCTTACACAGTTGTACCGGCTCCTCCCCTTCAGTCTTGCACAGTTGTACCGGCTCCTCCCCTTCAGTCTTACACAGGTGTACCGGCTCCTCCCCTTCAGTCTTACACAGTTGTACCGGCTCCTCCCCTTCAGTCTTGCACAGGTGTACCGGCTCCTTCCCTTCAGTCTTGCACAGGTGTACCGGCTCCTTCCCTTCAGTCTTGCACAGGTGTACCGGCTCCTTCCCTTCAGTCTTGCACAGGTGTACCGGCTCCCTTTTATTTTTACTAGTAATGGTGGCAATCACCGACTTATAGCAGGACTGGGTCGGCATTCTGACACTCCTGGGATTTTTATTTTTTTGCTATATAAATGAAAAAGTCCGGAAAAAAAAAGCGTTTTTCTTATAAAATTTTGCAAATAAATTATCTTTCTTCATAAATCAAAATGTATTCATCTATATTTTTAGTAAAAAAAAATAACCCAAATCAGTTTATAACCAAAAATGTATAATTTTTCAAAAAATTTTTGACGTTTATTTTTTTTTTTTTTAGATTATTATTTATGTTTTGTCACCCTGTCACCCTAGCAGTACAGCGTCACCATAGTGACACTGTACTACCTGTTAGGGGGTAATAAAGATTTTTTTTTTTTTTTTACACTGATTGCTTTTACACCCATAAAAGCTGTAAAAACAATAATTTCTCCTCTCTGGCTGCATTCCTGCAGCCATTGAGAAATACTGTGTGAGCTTTGATTGGTCACAGCTTGTCACATGGTACAAGGCTGTTGTAAATAGCCCTGTACCATGTGATCTCTGTGATCATTCACAGATTTCACACGTAGTAAGCAATGATGTCAGAAGTGACATCTTGCTTACTCCTATTCATGTGATTACTGCTTGGCCAATCAGTGATCACATGATCGAGACCTCACACAGAGGTCCCGTACAGTGATCGGTGTTCTGTGTCCAGAGGATACAGGAGGCACTGGATCACGGTGCAGGATTATTCTGGGCCCGCTGTGTACTTGGGGCCCCTGGGCAGTGCCTAAGAGTGCCCCTGCATTAGGACGGCCCTGACTGGGAACCCTCCCCCAGGGATTGGCTGGGACCACATAAACATTCAGGATGCTCATTTGACTCCCCCAGCCTACTACATTCCAGAACCCACCAAAAGGCAGGGGGAAGCAGTCAAACCTGCAACCAGGGAGACACAAAACCCAAAGGAACTAAATTTACCAAACCAAGCTAGCAGCCTAACTGGGAAGGTGCTACACTTGGTTTAGTTTGGTCTAATTCCTTTACCTGGATCCCAAACTTCGGAAACTGCTCATAGCGGTCTCACCAGAGCCATTGTGCCCTGTGTAGATGTTCTTGGTACTTATGGACGTGACCAAGAATTGGGTAGCACAGCGGCTTAGTGGTTAGCACTTGCACTCAGCAGCACGGTGGTTCAAATCCCAACCATGGCACTACCTACCTGGAGTTGGCATATTCTTCGTGTGGGGTTCCTCTCCCACTCCAAAGACATGCTGGCCGGTTAATTGGCTCCTGTCTGAATTGGCCCTATTATGTGTATGTACGCTCTTTGAGGGTTAAGGACTGATTTTGATGTACGATATATATGTAAAGTGCTGCAGTGCCATATAGGTACCTGTAATAAATAAAACTCACTAGGCACCAGACTGTGGCATCTCAGTCCATGAAGTAGATGATGACCATGGATGATGCCTGAACAAAGATGGCTTTGTCCTTCTGGAGAAAAAAAAAGCAGATGATGGCATCAACAGAGGACATACCTACAGTGAAGGAAATGTGTATTTGCTCCCCTGCTGATGGTGAATGTTCGCCCCTCACACAGAAACGATCGGTCTAACAATGGAATGTTCGGTGTAACACTGAGAGACAGAATACAACAACAAACTCAGCAGAAATGCATCTAACAAATGATGACTGATCTGCATGTTCATGAGGGAAAGAAGGATTTGATCCACTTCACAAAACTCGACTTTGTACTTGGTGGCAAATCCCTTGTTGGCAATCACAGAGGTCAGACGTTTCCTGGAGTTGGCCCCCAGGTTTGCACACATCTCAGGAAGGATTTTGGCCCACTACTCTTTGGCAGATCCTCTCCAAGTCATTAAGGTTTGGTGGCTGACGTTTGGCAACTCGAACTTTCAGCTCCTCCACAGATTTTCAATCGGATTAAGGTCTGGAGACTGGCTAGGCCACTCCAGGACCTTAATGTGCTTCTTCTTGAGCCGCTCCTTTGTTGCCTTGGCCATGTGTTTTGGGTCATTGTCATGCTGGAACACCCATCCACCACCCATTTTCAATGCCTTGGCTGAGGGAAGAAGGTTCTCACCCAAGATTTGAGGGTACATTGCCCCGTCCACCGTCCCTTTGATGTGGTGCAGTTGTCCTGTCCCCTTAGCAGAAAAACACCCCCAAAGCAGAATGTTTCCACCACCATGTTTCACAGTTGGGATGGTGTTCTTGGGGTCATAGGCAGCATTCCTCCTCCTCCAAACATGGCGAGTTGAGTTGATGCCAAAGAGTCTCATCTGACCACAACACTTCCCACCAGTCCTCCTCTGCATCATTCAGATGTTCAGTGGCAGACTTCAGACGGGCCTGGACATGTGCTTTCTTGAGCAGAGGGACCTTGCGGGCACTGCAGGATTTCAGTCCTTGTCGGCGTAGTGTGTTACCAATTGTTTTCTTGGTGACTGTGGTCCCAGCTGCCTGGAGATCATTGACAAGATCCTCACGTGTAGTTCTGGGATGATTCCTCACTCTTCTCATGATCATTGACACTCCACGAGGTGAGATCTTGCATGGTGCACCAGACCTAGGGAGACTGACACTTGTTCTGTGTTTCTTCCATTTGTGAATGATTGCACCAACTGTTGTCACCTTCTCACCAAGCTGCTTGGCCATAGTTTGGTAGCCCAGTCCAGCCTTGTGTAGGTCTACAATCTTGTCCCTGACATCCTTGGACAGCTCTTTGGTCTTTGCCATGGTGGAGAGTTTGGAATCTGATGGTTTGATAGCTCCTGTGGACAGGTGTCTTTTATACAGGTAACACAATGAGATTAGCAGCAATCCCTTTAAGAGACTGCTTCTAATCTCAGCTTGTTACCTGTATGAGAGACACCTGGGAGCCAGAAATCCTGCTGAATGATAGGGGATCAAATCCTTCTTTCCCTCATGAACATGCAGATCAGTCATCGTTTGTTAGACGCATTTCTGCTGAATTTGTTGTTGTATTCTGTCTCTCAGTGTTACACCGAACATTCGATTTTTAGACCGATCATTTCTGTGTGAGGGGCGAACATTCAACATCAGCCGGGGAGCAAATACGCATTTCCTTCACTGTAAATACATACAGCAGCTGGAAGTCTTCCAGACCCGTACTTAGCATGCCACACAAAGACAAATATCTGATGCTAGGTCCAGGTCATCCAAAAAACCATACTGAAGCTGGGGGCAGGAGTTTCGCCATATAATATTGCATCAGCTTTAATCGATAATTGTATCTCAAATTGTGTGAAAGATTGGTCTTCCCTTACCGACTTACCAATATATGTTTTCTTTGAAAGGGGAAAGCGACAAAGCCACGTTCTGGTCAGCACAGGCACTGCCAGAACTGCTTCAGCAAACGATGCCAAGCTCCCATCAACACTGGTGTCTCCTGTGTGATGATAAGCTGCCCCTCGCACTGCGGCGCCACTTTCCATATGTGCAAGGAGGAGGAACATCAACTGCTGTGCCCTAACGAATGGGTGCCGTGCCTCAATTCAGTATTTGGATGCCCATTCTATATGAATAGGTGTAAGCAGGCCAAGCACCTCAAGGTCTGCCCAGCTAGTGTGGTCTGCTGTTCCATGGATTGGAACCGATGGCCCATTCTAGATCATGATCAAACGCTTTACGAGAATCTTCTGAAGGAGGAAGAAAGTGAGGAATGCCTGGACTTGGCCTTATCGCTAAGGGATCAAAAGATTCTCTTTAGATCTCTTAAACTGGCGGAACTTTTTCCAGAACTCTCCGAAGACCCTAAAAACACAATAAACTTGTCGAGGCCTGAGGAAGACCTGGAAGCCGGTGCTGTTGGAGGAAGTAATCTATCATCAAATGTAGCCAACGGTGTGGAACCTGGTGGCCTGACTCAGTTTGAGCGAGAAGCTCTGGCTCGGGGTCAACTCGACAATGATTTTGGTAATTTCTTCCAGTGGGAGGCTATGTTTAGCAAAGAGAAGAAAGCATCCGAATATCTAGAGAAAGCAGGTGATCAGAGCACCAGTGCATCAGCTGGAACCAGCAAAGCACCGGGTGGCAAACCAGATGCAGAAGGGAAAAATCCAGAAACTAATGAGGGCAAAGATGACAATGAATGCAATAGAAGATATCTGGAGCAAATGGAGAAGACTGGCCTTGCTCCATGGCAAGAGGGGGTCTTGGAAAGACTGAAAAATGAAGTGGATTGCGGCAGTTACAACATGTACATTGTGCACCATGGCAGCATGCTTATCCGATTTGGACAGATGGCGGCATGCACTCCCAAAGAGAAGGACTTTGTGTACGGAAACCTGGAAGCCCAGACGGTAAAGACTGTGTGCACCTTCAAAATACCAACAAGCTACTGTGGCCGTAGAGCCCAACTCGGGGAAGAGAATCCCAAGAAGGAGAGAGGTGAGCAATTGGTGGACACATCTGACCTTGGCCTTCCAGAAGAAGACTTGTCACAAGCTAAAACTATTTATACAATCTTGATGTGTGCCCTGGAGAGGGAGCTTAAAGGTCACGAGGTGTCACAGATGAAGGCCCTAGATGGGCTGCTCATCGATTTTGGAACTCAAACTTATAATTTCGGTCAAGATCCCTTCACTAAAAGAACAGTTTTATGGGATCTTATTACCGAAAAGGAAATGAGACATTTGGGTCTTAAACTGGATATTCTGAGTGAGAGTGTATGTGGCAGACATAACAAGAGCAATTCGTCCTTCACCTTTTCGTGCCAACTCTTCTTCCGTAGAGATGAGTTCTCCTCACATTATAAAAATGCCCATTGTGACATACAGTCCAGTCTTGGTGGCTGGTTCCAGCAACGTTGCCCACTTTCCTACTTGGGCTGCACCTTTTTACAAAATCGCTTTCGTCCTGCAGGAGTGAGGTCACAGGTCATCTACAGCAAACAGCTCAAGACGTTTGCCGTGAAGCCACTGATGGACTGCAGTCTGTATCAGGGAGTAAGACCCAACCTTTCAAGGAGCAATCGAGGAAAGAGCAAAGACTCACTCTCCAACCTTCCACTTGAGATTCTACAACACATTGCTGGGTTCTTGGACAGCTTCAGTCTCTGCCAGTTTTCCCAAGTCTCTACCCTCATGAGAGATGTCTGTGCCTCATTATTGCAAGAGAGGGGGATGGTCCATCTCCTCTGGGAGAAAAAAGACTTATTCTCATGGTGGAAGTTCATGGAGGTGTCGGAAAAAGGTAAGTGTTTTGTTTGAGTGGTTGTGAATGAATACAAGGCTTCCCCTGACTGGCTGAGGTGGAGATCACAATGGCATTTGCAGAGTGGAAAGGAGGTGGAGATCATGATGTCATATGCACTCCTGAAGGCCTGCATCTCCCAGAAATGGAAAAACTCTTCCCCACCTAAGATGCCCATGTGGCTCAATAAGGTGAAGGAAATCAGGAGAATGGAAGACCTTATCCTTTCTTCTCATATTGTGAAATCCACCTTTGACCTTGGTTCTACTGGACTGCGGTCACCTTCTCAGCGCGGAGTAAAGCCCTAATGCTCAGCTGTACTGAACCCACACTGTTGTCCTCTCATCACAGAATTCAGGGGAAATCCTGTGCTTCCCATTGTTCTTCCCTTTCCTCATTTTCCTGGTAGCCCGTCCCTCCCCTCATCTCCCTGGTAGCCCGTCCCTCCCCTCATCTCCCTGTTAGCCCATCCCTCCCCTCATCTCTCTGGTAGCCCGTCCTCCCTCATCTCCCTGGTAGCCCGTCCCTCCCCTCATCTCCCTGGTAGCCCGTCCCTCCCCTCATCTCCCTGGTAGCCCGTCCCTCCCCTCATCTCCCTGGTAGCCCGTCCCTCCCCTCATCTACCTGGTAGCCCGTCCCTCCCCTCATCTACCTGGTAGCCCGTCCCTCCCCTCATCTCCCTGGTAGCCCGTCCCTCCCCTCAGCTCCCTGGTAGCCCGTCCCTCCCTCATCTCCCTGGTAGCCCGTCCCTCCCCTCATCTCCCTGGTAGCCCGTCCCTCCCCTCATCTCCCTGGTAGCCCGTCCCTCCCCTCATCTCCCTGGTAGCCCGTCCCTCCCCTCATCTCCCTGGTAGCCCGTCCCTCCCCCCTCATCTCCCTGGTAGCCCGTCCCTCCCCTCATCTCCCTGGTAGCCCGTCCCTCCCCTCATCTCCCTGGTAGCCCGTCCCTCCCCTCATCTCCCTGGTAGCCCGTCCCTCATCTACTCCTGGTAGCCCGTCCCTCCCCTCATCTCCCTGGTAGCCCGTCCCTCCCCTCAGCTCCCTGGTAGCCCGTCCCTCCCCTCAGCTCCCTGGTAGCCCGTCCCTTCCCTCAGCTCCCTGGTAGCCCGTCCATTCCCTCATCTCCCTGGTAGCCCATCCCTCCCCTCATCTCCCTGGTAGCCCATCCCTCCCCTCATCTCCCTGGTAGCCCCTCCCTCCCCTCATCTCCCAGCCTCTTCGCCACCTTCCATTTCCTACTTTTCAACCCTGATGCTCCCTATTTACATCTCTTACCCTTTCCCCATTCTCTCTCATTTTCTTCTTCCATCCTTGGCCTCATCTTCCCCATTTCTATAAATTCCAAATGAAAAATGCACTTTGGAATACTCTTATGCAGGCCATAGATGGTTCAAAAATCGGCCGATTTTTCATCCGAAAGAATAATCGGACGATTTTTGCACTGTTAGTGGGGCAGTGGCATCGGCCGATTTTTGTGGTTCCTCCTCATTTCGTTTATCGGTCATGCTGGAAAATTCGTGAAAAACGGCTGAGTTTCGAAATCATTGGTGGCAACATCGGATTACAGAACGAAAGATGTTTCGTTTTTCGGTTGAAAAATCGGCCAATAAACGAACCGTCTATGGCCTGCATAACTCTCCTACTTCAGCCGTCCTAAGCGGTGCTGGTTAGTCATGCACTCCCATTATGTCCCTAGAAACTTTCTAAGGATCAGCCTGTTTCTTCAACAACACTCTGGTTTATGTATATGAACCCACATGGAAGAAAAATATATTTTAAATACTACAATTTTGGCCGTATTCAATAATTTAAAAAAAAATAAATAAATTATATATATATATATATATATATATATATATATATATATATATACACACTCTGCATGTTGAAATGCATTTTTTACATATTACAAAATATATGGAAAATATTTTTTTAAAATATATATTTTTTAAATATATTTTCAAAATTTTTTCAAATTCAGTATATTTCAAAATATATTTTAAAAAAAAAAAAAAAAAAAAAAAAAAAAAAAAAAATATATATATATATATATATATATATATATATATATATATATATATATATATATATATATATAAACACTGCATGTTGAAATGCATTTTTTATATAATCACAAAATATATACAATTTTGGCCGTATTCAATATATTTCAATATATATATATATACACATATATATGCAAAAATTTTGGCCGTATTCATATATACAACATATATGAAAAAACATATTTCAACATCCAGTATATATATATATATATATATATATATACTGGATGTTGAAATATGTTTTTTCATATATTACAAAATATATGAAAATAAGTATTTTTTTAAATGTATTCTTTAGATTTTTTTTAACATATAGGTAAAAATATATGTTAAAATTACTTTCTTATATTTGTAAATGCATTCCAAAAATGTAGATTAAATGTATCTTTAAAGACATCCAGTATAATTGGTTCCCACATGGAAGATAAATATATTTGAAATACTACAATTTTGGCCGTATTCAATATATTTAAAGAAAAAAATATATATATATATATATACACACACACACACACTGAATGTTGAAATGCATTTTTTCATATATTACAAAATATATGAAAAACTATTTTAAAAATACAGTGGGGCAAAAAAGTATTTAGTCAGCCCACCAATTGTACAAGTTCTCCCACTTACAAAGATGAGAGGAGGCCTGTAATTGGCATCATAGGGAGACCTCAACTATGAGAGACAAAATGAGAAAACAAATCCAGACAATCACATTGGCTGATCTGGAAAGAATTTATTTGCAAATTATGGTGGAAAATAAGTATTTGGTGAATATGAAAAGTTCCTCTCAATACTTTGTTATATATCCTTTGTTGGCAATGACAGAGGTCAGACGTTTCCTGGAAGTCTTCACAAGGTTGGCACACACTGTTGCTGGTATGTTGGCCCATCCTCCATGCAGATCTCCTCCTCCATGCAGATCTCCTCTAGAGCAGTGATGTTTTGGGGCTGTCGCTGGGCAACACGGACTTTCAACTCCCTCCAAAGGTTTTCTATGGGGTTGAGATCTGGAGACTGGCTAGGCCACTCCAGGACCTTCAAATGCTTCTTACGAAGCCACTCCTTCGTTGCCCGGGCGGTATGTTTGGGATCATTGTCATGTTGGAAGACCCAGCCACGTTTCATCTTCAATGCCCTTGCTGATGGAAGGAGGTTTGCACTCAAAATCTCACGATACATGGCCCCATTCATTCTGTCCTGTACATGGATCAGTCATCCTGGTCCCTTTGCGGAGAAACAGCCCCAAAGGATGATATTGCCACCCCCATGCTTCACAGTAGGTATGGTGTTCTTTGGATGCAACTCAGCATTCTCCCTCCTCCAAACATGACGAGTTGTGTTTCTACCAAACAGTTCTATTTTGGTTTCATCTGACCATATGACATTCTCCCAATCCTCTTCTGGATCATCCAAATGCTCTCTAGTAAACTTCAGACGGGCCCCGACATGTACTGGCTTAAGCAGGGGGACACGTCTGGCACTGCAGCATCTGAGTCCCTGGCGGCGTAGTGTGTTACTGATGGTAGCCTTTGTTACGTTGGTCCCAGCTCTCTGCAGGTCATTCACTAGGTCCCCCCGTGTGGTCCTGGGATTTTTGCTCACCGTTCTTGTGATCATTTTGACCCCACGGGGTGAGATCTTGCGTGGAGCCCCAGATGGAGGGAGATTATCAGTGGTCTTGTATGTCTTCCATTTTCTAATTATTGCTCCCACAGTTGATTTGTTCACACCAAGCTGCTTGCCTATTGCAGATTCAGTCTTCCCAGCCTGGTGCAGGTCTACAATTTTGTTTCTGGTGTCCTTCGACAGCTCTTTGGTCTTCACCATAGTGGAGTTTGGAGTGTGACTGTTTGAGGTTGTGGACAGGTGTCTTTTATACTTATAACAAGTTCAAACAGGTGCCATTGATACAGGTAATGAGTGCAGGACAGAGGAGCCTCTTAAAGAAGAAGGTCCAGGTCTGTGAGAGCCAGAAATCTTGCTTGTTTGTAGGGGACCAAATACTTATTTTCCACCATAATTTGCAAATAAATTCTTTCCAGATCAGCCAATGTGATTGTCTGGATTTGTTTTCTCATTTTGTCTCTCATAGTTGAGGTCTCCCTATGATGCCAATTACAGGCCTCTCTCATCTTTGTAAGTGGGAGAACTTGTACCATTGGTGGTGACTAAATACTTTTTTGCCCCACTGTATATATTTTTTAAAAATATTCTTCAGATTTTTTTTAACATATAAAAAAGTCATTTTAACATATGTTTCAAAATATATTTCAATAAGTAATAAATATAAATATATATATATACATACATGTGTGTGTATATATATATATATACTGTATGTTGAAATGCGTCTCCATTAAAAAATATATGAAAAATATTTTTAAAAATACATTTTCAAATATACTGTATGTCTTTAAAAATACATTTAATCTACAGTTTTGGAATGCATTTACAAGTATATGTAAAAATGACTTATTTATATGTCAAAAATGTTTTTTCAAGAAAATTAAAAAAAATATATATATATTTTTTTTAAAAATGTTTTTTCATATGTTTTGTAATATATAAAAAAACACATTTCAACATGCAGTATATATATTGAAATATATTGAATACGGCCAAAATTGTAGTATTTCAAATATATGGCAATATATCTGGATAGAATATTTTTAAAGTATATTTCAAATCTATTTCTCTTCCATGTGGGAACCAATTGTCATGTTTACTACTAATACAGTTTCCCTGCTATACAATACACGTATGTCATGGCTCGGCACACTATTATGAAAGCTGTATGACAATATCTCACTCTCTGCTGTGTAATGTAACTAATTCTGAAGTATGAAGAAACAGAGTTTGCAGAATACAGAATCCCCCTTTAGGGCCCATTACTTTGCTGTGTATCAGCGTGCGTCGTGTCGCATCAAAGCATCCTATTCAGAATGCACAGATCTCCATTGTGTGACAGGGGGTGTAAATGTGTGACGGGGTGTAAATGTGTGACATGGGGTGTACATGTGTGACATAAGGTGCAAATGTATGACATAGGGTGTACATGTGTGACATAGGGTGTACATGTGTGACATGGGTTGTACATGTGTGACATGGGGTGTACATGTATGACATGGGGTGTACATGTGTGACATAAGGTGTAAATGTGTGACATAAGGTGTAAATGTATGACATAGGGTGTACATGTGTGACATAGGGGTGTACATGTGTGACATAGGGTGTACATGTGTGACATAGGGTGTAAATGTATGACATAGGGTGTAAATGTGTGACAGGGGGGTGTGTAAATGTATGACATAGGGTGTACATGTGTGACATAGGGTGTACATGTGTGACATAGGGTGTAAATGTGTGACATAGGGTGTACATGTGTGACATGGGGTGTACATGTGTGACATGGGGTGTACATGTGTGACATGGGGTGTACATGTGTGACATAAGGTGTAAATGTGTGACATAAGGTGTAAATGTGTGACATAGGGTGTACATGTGTGACATAGGGTGTACATGTGTATGACATGGGGTGTAAATGTGTGACAGGGGGTGTAAATGTGTGACAGGGGGTGTACATGTGTGACAGAGGGTGTACATGTGTGACAGAGGTGTACACGTGTGACGGGGTGTACATGTGTGACAACGAGGGTGTACATGTGTGTAAACGTGTGACAGGGGGTGTAAACGTGTGACAGGGGGTGTAAACGTGTGACAGGGGGTGTAAACGTGTGGCAGGGGGTGTAAATGTGTGACATGGGTGTACACGTATGACAGAGGGTGTACATGTGTGACATAGGGTGTAAATGTGTGACATGGGGTGTACATGTATGACATAGGGTGTAAACATGTGACATAGGGTGTACACGTATGACAGAGGGTGTTGCTCTGGTGGTGATCCTATGATGACTTGTGGTGAAGGTTCTGGGTTTGTTCCTGACTTCCAGTCGGGTTCCTCACGTTTGCTGTCTGCTCTTCCTCCAGGTCTGGAACTTCAGCAGCCTCTTCTCTCCGGTCCATCGGTGGACCTTCAATGACATCTCCATGTCTGAACACCTCAAGGTTTGTCCTTTCAATTCCCCCGAGACAAAGAAGGAGCCTTTCCATCTGCCCAGCGTGTACACCACTCGGGAGGGCGAGAAGAAGAGCAGCCTGCTAAACCTGCCAAGGAAAGTTGTAGGCGGGGCTCCGTGTGAAGCCAATCAACGAGCTCCTGGATAAAAGTTGTCTGAGAATTTATGGCAGACCAACCACACACGCGTGTTCTCTGTAGCCGACACTCAGCAGGGTTTAGTAGTAAGCAATGTGAGGACATCTATGGAACCCGTGGTGAGGATGGGAGAAACCAGTAGGGGCCTGGAGAAATTCCATGTTCCACAATTCCATAATATATAGAAAATGGAAAAACCTCAAAAATAATAAAACCCCCAAAAAAGCAGCAACAATACTCTGAGATATACGACACGGTCAAAGCAATACATTGAAGATCGGCTGCGCTAATGATACATTGTGATGTGAGAAAATGTTCTACAAATGAATACCAATATAAATCAATAAGTGATCAGCGATAATCTCACAAAAAAAAATTAAAATTCCGAGAAAACGGGAATCCAAAAAAAATGTGTGAAAGTGATCCCGCCACCTACAGAATATGGCGCTTCCCAGTTGGCACGGAATAGTCCATTTGCTGGTTCTCGGCATCTACTCGGTGACCCCTGTGTACAATTTACTGCGGTTGGAAGTTCATGATACATATGGCGAAGGAAATGCGTATTTGCTCCTCTGCTGATGTTGAATGTTCGCCCCTCACACACAATGAATGTTCGCCCCTCACACAGAAATGATCGGTCTAACAATGGAATGTTCGCCCCTCACACAGAAATGATCGGTCTAACAATGGAATGTTCGGTGTAACACTGAGAGACAGAATACAACAACAAAAATTCAGCAGAAATGCGTCTAACAAATGATGACTGATCTGCATGTTCATGAGGGAAAGAAGGATTTGATCCCCTTCACAAAACATGACTTAGTACTTGGTGGCAAATCCCTTGTTGGCAATCAGAAAGGTCAGACGTTTCCTGGAGTTGGCCCCCAGGTTCGCACACATCTCAGGAGGGATTTTGGCCCACTCCTCTTGGCAGATCCTCTCCAAGTCATTAAGGTTTGGTGGCTGACATTTGGCAATTAGAACTTTCAGCTCCTCCACAGATTTTCTATTGGATTAAGGTCTGGAGACTGGCTAGGCCACTCCAGGACCTTAATGTGCTTCTTCTTGAGCCGCTCCTTTGTTGCCTTGGCCGTGTGTTTTGGGTCATTGTCATGCTGGAACAACCATACACGACCCATTTTCAATGCCCTGGCTGAGGGAAGAAGGTTCTCACCCAAGATTTGAGGGTACATTGCCCCGTCCATCGTCCCTTTGATGCGGTGCAGTTGTCCTGTCCCCTTAGCAGAAAAACACCCCCAAAGCAGAATGTTTCCCCACCATGTTTCACAGTTGGGATGGTGTTCTTGGGGTCATAGGCAGCATTCCTCCTCCTCCAAACACGGCGAGTTGAGTTGATGCCAAAGAGCTGGATTTTGGTCTCATGTGACCACAACACTTCCCACCAGTCCTCCTCTGCATCATTCAGATGTTCAGTGGCAGACTTCAGACGGGCCTGGACATGTGCTTTCTTGAGCAGAGGGACCTTGCGGGCACTGCAGGATTTCAGTCCTTGTCGGCGTAGTGTGTCACCAATTGTTTTCTTGGTGACTGTGGGTCCCAGCTGCCTGGAGATCATTGACAAGATCCTCACGTGTAGCTCTGGGATGATTCCTCACTGTTCTCATGATCATTGACACTCCACGAGGTGAGATCTTGCATGGTGCACCAGACCTAGGGAGACTGACACTTGTTTTGTGTTTCTTCCATTTGTGAATGATTGCACCAACTGTTGTCACCTTCTCACCAAGCTGCTTGGCCATAGTTTGGTAGCCCAGTCCAGCCTTGTGTAGGTCTACAATCTTGTCCCTGACATCCTTGGACAGCTCTTTGGTCTTTGCCATGGTGGAGAGTTTGGAATCTGATGGTTTGATTGCTCCTGTGGACAGGTGTCTTTTATACAGGTAACAACATGAGATTAGCAGCACTCCCTTTAAGAGACTGCTTCTAATCTCAGCTTGTTACCTGTATGAGAGACACCTGGGAGCCAGAAATCCTGCTGAATGAAAGGGGATCAAATCCTTCTTTCCCTCATGAACATGCAGATCAGTCATCATTTGTTAGACGCATTTCTGCTGAATTTGTTGTTGTATTCTGTCTCTCAGTGTTACACCGAACATTCCATTGTCAGACCGATCATTTCTGTGTGAGGGGCGAACATTCAACATCAGCAGGGGAGCAAATATGCATTTCCTTCACTGTGTGTATATATATATATATATATATATATATATATATATATATAGACTGTATGTTGAAATGCATTTTTATTGCAAAATATATGAAAAATATTTTTAAAAATACATTTTCAAATAGACACATTTGTTTCAGCTTCTCTAGCAGAGGGTCAATACCATGCGGAAGGTGCAAAATTCTGGGATCACTTTCGGTGCTTGAAGTGGGATCAGGTTGCCACAAGAAGCTCATACAACTTCTCATAGGACTCTGAATTTATGAATATTTGATTCACATTTTCTTGGACTTGAATTATTTTAATTTTTTTTTTGTGTGACTATCAATGCTCACTTATTTTTGGTATTCATTTGTATTCCCAGAATTCCCTAGCTTGGATTACACAAAGGCTGGATTACACGAAAGGCTCTAAGGAAGGTATATACAGAGAGTTGTAGAGTAGCAAATGTCTGAATAAAAAAAGAATTATTTATTACTTTAGGACATATAGGAAATTGCTGCATTTTTTTGAAGTTACAAGAAATAATTTTAGACTGGCGCATGTATTTAGTGTAAAAGAAATTGTAAATTCTGTATAAAACTGTATTCTGTTTTGTATGTTTTCCCCTATGTATTGCACCCGGCACTAACAATGTTTTGATTACGTTTGCCTTCTTTCAAGTCCTGATTAGAAATTCACCTGCCTATGTAACGCCCCTTGTTACCATAAAAAAATTGTAATATTAATGTGATACCTATGTAATCATGTGTATAAAAAAACTTCAATTGAGCCAAATAAACAGAACAGCAATTTGGAAAGATGTTGGGTGTATCTTTTTTGTCTCTGTTCCCTCCCATATGGAAGAAAAATATATTTGCAATATATTTTAAATCTATTCTCCCCAAATATCCATTGCGCAAAATTATCAGCAAGTATTGCAACCCCATTTGGATTGACATATATTATATGCTACAATTTTTGGCCGTATTCAATATATATATATATATATATATAATATATATATATATATATATATATATATTTATATATATATATTTATTGAGAAAAAAAATATATATATATTTATGTATTAAATATTGAAATATATATATATATATATATATATATATATATATATATATAATATATTTCAATAAATATATAAATAAATAAATATATATATACTCAATATATTTCAATAAATAAATATATATATATATATATATATATATAAAAAATATAGTGAATGTATGTATGTATATGTGTATATATATATATATATATATATATATATATATACTCAATATATTTCAATAAATATATATATATATGTATTTATTTATTGAAATATATTGAGTATATATATATATATTATGTATTTATTTATTGAAATATATATATATATATATATATATATATATACACACACACACACACTGTATGTTGAAATGCGTTTTTATTACAAAGTATATGAGAAATATTTTTAAAAATACATTTCAAATTAACTGTATGTCTTTAAAAATACAAATCTACATTTTTGGAATGCATTTACAAATATATGTAAAAAATATATGTTAAAAAGACTTTTTTTATATTTTAAAAAAATTCTGAAGGATATATTTTAAAAAAATTAAGTGTATATTGATTGATTTGTGTGAAAGGTATAGCGTCTACAAACTATGGAATATATACTGGAATTTACACACCTATAGATGCTATATTAGTAATGGTGGTGATCGGCAGCTTATAGTGGGACTGTAATAGTGTGGTGGGCAATCTGGCATTAACAGACACCGGCAGGGACTAACTGACTGAATGACACTGATTTCCCTAGTGATACTAATACAGTGATCAGCTATAATACTGTACACTATACTAGGTGGAAGGGGTTAACATCAAGGGGAACTCAGGGGGTTAACTGTGTGTGAGAAGAAACAGCCAGATCACTCTCTGTGTACAGAGTTCTGTGTGTTAGTAAACACAGAACTCTGTGCTGTGATTGGCCACAGCCGATCAGCAGGTATACAGCTGAAATCATTGGCTGAAACCTGCTGATAAACTCATGCTGTGTCCAATCACAGCAGAGGTTAGAAGGGGGTGTGCTCTAAAAAACTGGGAAACAGGCGGCAATGTACGGGTATGTTGCCTAGCCTGTAGCTGCCACCCACCCGCAGTAAATGTACCGTGGGCGGCAGCAAGGGGTTAAAATGAGCTCATCCAACCACACACAGGAACAGAACTACAAACTTCTCATTGGGTGATATAGAAGCCCAGTAACCCTCCACAAAATGGAGGGTTACCATTTCTGGTGATGTGGGGAATCAGCTTATACCCTACTATATATGTGGTGGTCGCATATGGCCCTTCTGGACCTCCAACTGTAGTCTTCATCATGAGATTATGGGTTGTCCATGGCCTGAGACCCCAGAGGTGGCCCTGCTTTTAGTCATCCCTGGGTCCATAGCTCGTCCTAAAAAGGGTACCTTTCACTTCCTCATTGCTGCCTCACGTGCCCCGATCCCTAGACACTGGAAGACAACCACCATACCTTCCACAAAGGAATGGGTAGCGGAAGAGTTAACAGCCACTTTATATGAGAGGTACTTGAAATTTGTCCAATATGTGTAGCGCCACCACTATTGAGGGCCGTTGGATTTGAATTGGGTCCCCTTAAGCTCTGCACAGCCAGGCAACACTCATTTTCTACATTTTCTCACAGTAAAACAGTCCTTGAGCTTGAATTTACTGTTTTTATTGATGGTTAACAACTTGGCTGGGGTCTAGGCATAGATGGGATGCC